AAATTAAAGACAAATAAAAAATTAAAAAAATCGCTTGAGGATGAAATGGAACTAATGTCTTTAATTTAATTACAAAATTAAATTCGGAGCTTTCAGCTTCCATTTTTAAACATTGTCACAACTGTGTAGCGAAAAAAAACATATTTTAAATCAATTAATTTATAATATTAATGCTCTGTAAATTTACATTGAACACTATTTTGTAAAAATAAAAATATCTATAAGAACACCGGATTATATATCTTACTGTTCTTACTTTTTATTTACACACACACACACACACACACATATATATATATATATATATATATATATATATATATATATATATATATATATATATATATATATATTAAGTGTTCAATATCAGGGATGGAGCGTATTAAATATAAAAATGGACATTGAGGTCAAGATTTAGCGGTGAAATTCTGCTTCATGTTTAAACGCAATCGCGATATATATATATATACATTCACCTACAATATATATATATATATATATATATATATATATATATATATATATATATAATTATCTATTTATGTATATAACAGTGGACACTGAGGTCAACATCAAGCAGTGAAACTGTGTTTCATACTTGAATGCCATTTTCAGGCCTCAATCCATTTTCTTTATTTACATTTGCTCTATCCTTGATATTAAGCAATTTTACCCATAAACAGAGCATACCTTAAAACAATATTTCTATCATATATATATATATATATATATGTGTGTGTTTGTGTGTGTACATTTGTATATAACGATCTTATATCCGTGTATGTTAATATTTATATTGTAATTATGTTATTAGACACACATAGATTTATGTGTTATATATATAAATATGTGTGTGTGTGTGTTCTGTATATATCTGCGTGTGTACATGTAGCAGCGTTGAACAAAACACTATAATAAAAGACATTGCTTTATGTTCAACTTAGAATTCCAGACAAACTCATATCTGTTTTTACTATTTGCTATTTGGCAAATAAAAGAAATCGCTTATGTTTGGTGGCCCGTACTAAATAAGTGAACTGTGTGCAATACTGATCACAGGCTCCATTTTCTCCATCTAGAAAAATACTGTCACGAATAAAAGCTAAAAAAAAAAGACAGACTGTAAAAAAGAAGTCTATGAAATGTGTCTCTGAAGTTGCAATGCGAAAGTAAAAAAAAAAAGAAAAAAAACTGTATTTAGTGGGTGCCTTCATAAGGCTTCTCCCGTTGAAAAGAACTCTTATAGCTGAATAACGAATATCTCTATCCTTTATAATCGTAGAAGATAAAGAATGTGCCGATGAAAAATCTCCTAAGTGAAAAAAAGATAAAATAAAATCATTGCATCTAAAGGTTTTGCAACAATGCAGAACCGGACAATTTTGGGTAGAATGTGGACAAAATTATAAGGATGAGAGAGAAAGAACAAATATATGAAACAGATGCTGATTTCAATGTGGAATACTAACGACAAAAGGACCACCACATTTTTCTGATTGATTTTTTAAAAAATGTTTTCAAAATATAAAAAATGAATGTATTACTATGATAAAATAAGTTTTGCGTGTTTGTGTATATGACTTAATGCAGGTATCTGTCTGTTTATGTCTATGTATCACGTGTGTAAAAGTTCCTAGCGCTTAACTTTTTAAAAATCAGAGTTAATACAGAGTAGAAAAACCATTTATAAAAATTCAACTTTCTGGAAATTTTGCATAACTAATAATTATTACGAGATACTTTCTGTTTTTCTTTCTTTCATTCATTCTTTCTTTCTTTCTTTCTTTCTTTCTTTCTAACATTTTATTCATTCTTTCTAACCTTTGTCTTTCTTTCTTTCTGATGTTTTTGGTCTTTCTTACCAAATCTTTTTTCTTTCTTCCTCTCTGATATTTTCTTTCTTTCTCTTTCTTTATCTTTTTTTACATTTTCTTTCTTTCATTCTTTCTTTCCTTCTAATATTTTCTTTCTTTCTTAGATTTTCTTTGCTCTTTCTTTCTTTTTTCTTACATTTTATTTTCACTTTCTTTCTTTTTTTACATTTTCTTTCTTTCATTTTCTTTCTTTCTGACATTTTCTTTTTCTTCCTTTCTTAGATTTTCTTCCTTTCTGATATTTTCGTTCTTTCTTACATTTCTTTCTTTCTTTGTTACATTTTCTTTATTTTTTCCTTACATTTTCATTCATTCTTTCTCTCCTTTTGATATTTTCTTTTTTCTTTTATTATATTTTCTTTTTTCCTAACATTTACGTTCTTCCTTACATTTTCTTTCTTACATTTTCTTTTTTTTTTTTCTTTCTTTCTTCTTCAGTCTTTATATTTAATTATCTTAAAACCTATATGAAAATTCCCCAAATTAGGATTCCCAGACTCCCATGGTGTGCGAGATGGAATTTCATGGGGTGCGACAGAGTGGCTTGTGCCCTTGTATGACGAACCATCACTCAGCCAGCTGCAAATGTACTTTAAGAGATTTACAGACATTTCGTCGCTACAAATTTGTCCCCGCCGATTCTTTACCGAAGCTCGATGTCACCCAAACTGCACATTGATTTTATTAATAAAGATGCAGATTTTATTATAATCTATTAATTTCTAGATTCAGTTCCCTTGTGTCAAAAACAAAAAATCTCTCGGTGTCGTCTGAATTCATAAGAGCTTCGGATCGCAATCAGCAAGAAGGTACCTATGTTTAACAAAATCCTAAGCGGGAAAATAGGAGCTAAGTATTCATTTATTTTTTTTTTCACGTTCGACACTCATTTTAATGTTTACAATTTTTTAACATTAAAATTTAATTAATGTATAGTTGCATTAAGACAGAAAGTATGACTATTAGCAAGAGAAAAAGCCAAAGCTACGAGTTACAAATGGGAAGAGGGCGTAGAGGTTTATAAATCTGAGACGCATTTTAACAGACGATGGAAAATGCTACATCCAGATCCGATTATGCATTAAACAAGCAAAAGAGGCATTTCAAAAGCTAAGCAAGGTGTTGAGAAATAAACAAAACTTCGTTAGAAACAAGCAAAGGAGTTCCGGGTTCTTATGTGTTATCCATCCTCTTATATGGCAGGGATGCTGGAAAATCTCCCCAAAAATGAGAAAAAATCTAGAAGTATCTGAAATGTGATTCTACAGAAGGATACTGAAAATTCCATGAACAGAACAAGTGAGCAGTCTTAAAGAAAATGGCGACAGAAAGAACACTTATGCGCAGAATCAGGAAAATATAGCTGAAATTAATTGGAGTCATAATGAAGAAAGATCCCTTAAAAAAAATTAACTTATTTAAGTTCAATGTATTCCCCCAGCTATGTCCTGCTATTTAACCCATAACTGGGGGAGAAGAGATGGATTCATACCTTTGTTAAAAGAATTTGTGCCCAGTCGAATTCGCTATATTCACTTACGTACAAATACCCTTAGGAAAGGTATGAATCCATCTATTCTCCCCCCAGTTATGGGTTAAATAGCAGGATAGACTGGGTTTTTTAGCCTTGATTGGCAACCATCTACCGCAGAAAAAAATGGCAACCTACTGCGAGAAAAATCTTCTGCTTCGTAAGTCATGTATGGAAAGATACATGATCGCCCAAGCGTGTATCACGTATGGTACTTAACTGACTGATTGTATCCCCCTCCCCGCGATAATATATGTTTGAAAAATTATAATACATACATAATCTTCAACTTTTATGTTACTGTTTTAGCGGGATAGCAACATTGATCAAATATTTCCGAGTGATAATGGTTAAGAAACCCTGATCTATATGAAAAGCACGATGTCCATAGATGTAAGCATATCCTAAAGGATCTTTTTTATTCATACCAATTTTATAACTGTTTTAACCTAGGGAACGTTACTGAATAGATTGTTTTGGTTTGTTGCGTTTTACGGCATATCAACCTCAATGTGTTATTTAATGCCGACAAAGTTTTTATTGCTGGTAATATTTTGTTTTGTCAAAAATCTATTTCTGGTAATAATTTTTTCCTTCGAAAATGTATTGCTGGTAATTTTTTTTTTTTTCAAAATGTATAGCTGGTAATATTTTTTCAAAAAGGTATTATTGGTAATATTTTTTTCAAAAATGTATTGCTGGTAATAGTTTTTTTCTTCAAAAATTTATTGCTGATAATATATTTTTTACAAAGTATTCCTGGTATTAAAACCCATTTTTACCCCAGTTTCGGGGTTAAATATTTTCCCATCAATTAAGAGGTGGTTTCACACCCCTCAAAACCTCCTGATCGGAGGCCTTGCTGTTATACGTAGTTTATCGTCTTACCCAGGACGCGGATGTAGTTTATCGTCAGACCCTGGACGCTTACTGAATAGAATAATCAAACGAAGGTTGGTAATGAACGATACTACTTAGGACAAGAACAACACACATAAGATTCGCCAGCGGCGCGCAGAAGAAGTAGTCAACAGCTAAAAGTGAGTCAAGTAAATTCCAAAATGAATCTCCAACTGCAGGCTATCTACCAACCGCCTCACGCGCTCAGATGCGGCACAAGTCCAAATTTAATGTGAGATATCCGAGCCCACTGGCTCGGCCAAAAGTTCCCTGTAGACTCCAGTAAAAAATGGAGTCGGGTAGCTGTTTCCGAGACGAGACTCTGACCTCCGACATAGCCTCGTTTGGGGATCATTTCTGCCCGGAAACAGAGAGTTTTGACCAGCACAGCTGGAGACGAATCTCTAACTGTAGGCCCACATACAGTATTTACTACTGTATTTATGTGAATAGGGGCATACCCATTTTCGTCCGTAGGTATGCTATAACAATAACAGTAGATTGGTTCATTCCTTCATTTTCTACGGCTTATCAACCCTTTTTCATTTTATTTAAAGCTAGGGGGATGTGCATTTCTACATTTCCCAAAAGTATTTGCTTGTAAGTGAATATAAATAGCCTAACTGGAATTGGAAATCGGAGAGCCAAGTTTCAATTTCAAGCCATTATCCATTGCACCACCCGCACATCTAAACTTACAGCATCTGGTATCCGCAAGTCACCCATCTAGGTACTAATCAGCCTCGACGATGCTTAACTTCGGTGATCGTAAGAGAACCGGTGTTTCAACGTGATATAGCCGTAAGCCCTCATTAGATAGATCATGTTGTATAGTTTTGTAGATGCTTTTTCTAATATAAGCATATATCCAAAACGTTTAGGAAATACGTTTCCATTTACATATTTTCCAGATCAAGAGGCAAAAATTAGATGAAGTTTGTAAGGAAAATTATCGTTTTTCATTGTTCTCGTCTTTAATAAAGAAATAGAACAATTAAATTCTCTTTTTTTATGGTATATTTGTAAAAAATGAATTTTTATCAGGCGATTTAAAAGATTTATACATACCCTAATAATTGAAGAATTATGGTAATGATCTGACACAAATTAAATCGACTAATGCATTTTTCTAAACAGAAATCAAAGTTCTATTTCATAGCCAGGGTCAAAACATTCAGTCTGCATTCTAAACTACGTTCGAGGATCTTTTCATGAGGAACGGAATAATACATACATATATATATATATATATATATATATATATATATATATATATATATATATATATATATATATATATATATATATATATATATATATATATAACTTAACAAAAAAAAAGTAGAGATTCACTTTATTTCAAATCATATTTTAAGATAACGTAGAAAATTGAAGTCAGTAACTGATATCCAATTTACGTAATTATATGAGCAGAGTACAATTCAAAAGTTTGCAGAGATTCAATTTCGACAAGAATAATATAATTTGCAGTTTTAAAAGTTTTGAATAATGGCAATAATAAACAATGCAAATATGAATAATGGATAATATATATAAAATATATATTTATATATATATATATATATATATATATATATATATATATATATATATATATATATATATATATATATATATATATATATATATATATATATATATATATATATATATATATATATATACTTCAAACACATGCGTGTGTGTGTGTATATATATGTGCACGCGTACCTGCATGCGTGTACGTGTGGGTTGGGGTATGTTTTAAAAGGAATTTTATTGTTTTTAGATTCGTTAGCGTCTGATAATTTATTGAGTTGATTTTACTTGTAACAGGGTTTTTTTTAAATTTCAGGACATCACTGAACTTATTCAACGATTAACATCATACCCATATACAGACACCCTCTCATATATATATATATATATATATATATATATATATATATATATATATATATATATATATATATGTGTGTGTGTGTGTGTATGTGTGTGTGTGTGTGTGTGTGTGTGTGTGTGTGTGTGTGTGTGTGTATAAAAGTTGAAATAAAAGTTGACACTGATATCAATACACAGCAGCGACAGTTCTGTTTCACGCTGGAACACAATCTTCAGGCCACACACACAAACGCACGCACACACAAAAACACACATAGACACACACACACACACATATATGTGTGTGTGTGAAAATATATAGAAAATAGGAAAGCACTCGTAAATAATTCAAAGTTCTTTAGTATTTTTGTTATTATTTTTAAAACCAGTGCTCTTGTTTTTGAAACATGAGAAGCCTTATGTAGCAGAAGGAATCATATTTTTAAATAAAAATATATATATATATATATATATATATATATATATATATATATATATATATAGGATCAAAATATCGTGTTAAGTGATGCTATATTCATGAGTAAAAGTGCTCAATATCATGTATAGAGTGTATATAAATATAAAAGTGGTCAACACTGAAAGGCGACAGCCTGTTTTGTGCTCCTCTTGTTCAATTAAAGCTGTTTGATTAGATTTGCATCGTAACTGGAAGATAATTTCAGAGAATTACTCAAGATGTCCATACAGACGTTCTCCAAGATCGACGCATTATAATGGTGGCAACGATGTACACAGCACTTAAGAAACCAAATGTGACCATAGAGTTTTCAACACAGCTTGTTTGCATGTAGGAGGATTACGGACGTGCTTTCTTCTAACCAGACTTCTACTTACACTACAGTACCATCGTACACGTCACTAGTGGTGGTCGTGAGAGGATCAAATGTAGGCGACTGAATGAAGGTCTCTAGTTTTTACTAACGAGAACATATTCAGCCGGTGGTATGTGCAATAAAAACCTGGGAACACGATGCATACACCCAACTTCTTTCAACATGGTGTGGGTTTTACAACTACTACTTAGCTTAAATTATTGAGGAGACAAAACTGAACATCGCAATGTACGCACAGAGAATTGTTCAACTCGTATGATTCCTGCAACAAGAATACTATGCGTTTCCACATGGATAATTACTACCTAATTCGTGTTAATGGTTATTCTCTACAAAATGTTCGAAAATTACTCCGGCACACACTAGACCAATCATTGAAGATGCATGGCACAAGATAGGAGGAGTCCTTCTGCATTCAGTTCTTATTCTGTGTGGCGTCTCACTTCATGAAATAGGCAATCATGGTTGTCCACAACTTTCTATCTTTTATACATCTGAGTAATGTCTGTCTTTTCTCCAACACTCCCATTCCCTATTCTGCCATCTATTTGAACCATCTCATTAGATATTTAACTCGTTCCTTTCATCTGGCCCTCTTGACTTCAATATGTTCTGAGAGTGTTAAATTCTCCAAGCCTTCTGTTCTCATATGTACGAGAAATTTCAGTTGTCTCTTTCTGGTTCTAAATATAAACATTTGTTTTGTTTACATTTAAAAAACTTCCTCTTTACTCACATGTTCAGTACATGATTTTTTCAGCACCCTTCCATAGAACTACATTTCTGTTGCCTCAAGTGTCTTTTTCATCTGTGAGGAGATTATTCTGCATTCACTGTCATGTTGGAGAATCGATACTATACATTCACACTGTATGTATTCGGATTAATAGATTAAATAATGATAACACGTCATCCTAGAAATTCAGATAGAAACGATACTATGTAATAATTTCAGCAATTTGACTTTGTGCAAAAGTATTTAATATGATTTGCTAATATTTTGTTGCATATCATCTCTTCTCCCTTACAGCCTCGAGTTGTTTTCTGTGGTTTTCAACGAGCTTCTTGCATGAAGATTTGGGCAGTTTCACCCATCCTTCTTAAAAGACTTTCTTCAGTTCCTTGATATTTTTGGAATCTCTTGCATGTACTCTCAACTTCTACTTATTCCATAAATGTTCTATTGGATTGAAACCATGTGACTGGCTAGGCCATTCCAGAACATCAATTCCATTTTCATTGAACCAATGTTGAGTTGTTTTAGCCGTGTGCATTGGATCGTTGTCCTGTTAGAATTCATAATCAAGCCTCAAACCTGTTACACTTTTTAATAGATGGCTTGATAGGATTTGCTTTTATTTTGCTGCATTCATTCTTCCTTCGTTGTCATCCATTTCTCCTACTCCTTTTATACGAAAAACAACCCCAAATCATTACACTTCCACCCCCCACTATATTTGTGCTTGCATCGTGTTTACTGAGTTCCTTTTTAACACCATACTTGGGTGCACATGTTTCTCCTGAAAAGTTGAATTTTCGTTTCATCTGACCAAATAACTTTCTTCCAGAATTCATCTGATTCAAGTTCATAATTTTTAACAAATTTCAAACGGTCTTGCACATGTTTACGTTTTAATAGTGGAGTCTCTTTGTTGATCTAGAATACAGGCCTGTACGATTCAGTAATCTCTTAATTGTATCTTTACTTACTTCAATTCCTGTATTTTTCAGATCGTTCTGAATTTCTTCTTTCACATTCCGGGCTATATATCGTTCAGTAGCCTCGTTTAATTTACACGGACGACCACTCCTTTGAATATTTTCAGTAGTATCATATTTTTCCACTTTCAAATAACAGCACCCACTGTACACACATGCAAATTTAAATCTTGAGCAATTTTCCCCTTACCGTATTTGTGCAGCTTTACAATCTTCTGTCGCATATCAATTGACAATTCTTTTGTTTTAATCATTTTTAGAAGTGTAGATAGCGGGACAGTCTACATTGTACCAGACCTGTTATCAGTATGTGCCAATTGAGTGACGTGCTTGGCTATATATATATATATATATATATATATATATATATATATATATATATATATATATATATATATATATATATATACTAAAGATAACCTGTGATTGGTTGAAGTACAAATCATATCAATATAACTAAAAATAGTTTTAAAATATCCTTTTTACAGTATTATTTGTATAGGTGTTAAATGCGTTTGCAAATTAGAAAGTTGACAATAAAAGTAATAATATATATATATATATATATATATATATATATATATATATATATATATATATATATATATCAACTTGAGTAAAATTTTTGAAAACGTGGGCGTAATTTTTTGCATACAACAATTAAATCTGTCTTAATTTTCTTATTTCATATTACATGATCCTCTCTCTCTCTCTCTATCTATCTATCTATATATATATATATATATATATATATATATATATATATATATATATATATTATGTGGTTGGTTCGGCGGTTCGGCACAAACCTTCACCACTATAACCATATCAAATGTGCTGGTGTCTGGGCTGTCGGTTCCTAGGAACTGAGCTGCTTGACCCTCATACGTTGAATACAGATAGATAGATAGATAGATAGATAGATAGATAGATAGATAGATAGATAGATAGATAGATAGATAGATAGATAGACTTAAACTTTGCACTGGCTGCTTCAGAAATATTTCCCACATATACCTCTTAGAAATACCTCCCACATAATGACAGAGCTATTTCTGGGAGTTATATGTATGTGGGAGATATTTCTGTCGCACCCTCCATTTACTTTTATTATACATAGGTTATGAACTAAAATTTCAAACCAATACAAATTTATTATGGTATTTGATGTGTCATTATTTATTTACTTTTGTATTAATTTATTTATTTATGATGCTCTTTTCATTTGCAGATATGGAAAGCAATTAGAATCGAGTATCAAAAGTGCCTCACCCTAAAATTTGACTCTTTCATTTTAATCACATTTATTTGACAGCTCACAAATATTTACGCGGCTGAAAATGTGTTGCCA